GGGTGTGTAAGTGTTAGTCGTGTGGGGATGCCCCCTTACGGGGGCGTACGTGTCTTTTGGTGTATTTGTCTGTCTGGTATATTGTTTGTCGGGGGTCGCAATTTTAAAGAAATGTATTTTAAAGTAATGCAAATAACTGATAAATAAGTTAAAACTTACCTGGGCATAACCCCGGGACAGGTACCTGAACAAAGATGCCGACGGCCTCTATGCTTAGCCGGGGGTCGGTGATTAAAAGGAAAGAAAGGGATTCTTTCCAGGTAGCCTTAATAAAGGCAGGTAGATTTTGCTCGTTGCAATCACTTCACCTCACAAACAAGCACGTCCGCTCAGCTCGGCTGTTCGCACTGAACTGATGTATGGGTCAATCACAGAAAACAACTTAATCTAAATTTACTTTCAAATATTAATTAATTATTTAAAGAATGTGGAAATACACAATAATTTTCCAGCCAACTTGGAGTTAATACACGAGTAAATTTTCACGGACGTGAAATTCGCTATTCGTTTTAGAGAGTTTAACTTTTTTATATTTTTCGTCATACTCACACAGACTTCGAAATTTATTTGATTAGTTTCATATTTCGTTAGAAAGTTAAATTTAATGTTATTTTTTGTTACAAAATTTTAGCATCTTAACATAAATTTAAATAATCACTCCAAAGAATTTTTTGGATATATTCTTTGCAAAATAGTCTCAAACTAACATGAAACTGTCATTAAACGAGAACAAAATTACTTGTTTCAAAGGTTAAGATTTTCTGACGCGAATATTTTCAATTGACGACTTCATATTCCGTCCGTTAAAAATAGTGAATTTTACGACGTGAAAACTTCCCTTCAGATTCTGATTGTTAGTTTTTGTCTGGGTTCTATACCAAAAATATATCCCCGAATCAACGATGTCACTCTGAGGGTCACCGACCTGAGTTAATATTCTGACTTATGTATTCTGTGGAGGCTCCAAAGAAATTTCGAATTATGTACAGATATACTAACTGAATTATCTACCTCTGCTAAGTAGACGTAACGGTTTGTCATTGTTCATTGAAAACAGATCATTAATATTGTTGAGATTGAGAGATTTAAGAATTTCTAGTTGACAGTACCAGCCATGCAATGTTGGTTGCCTAAACTTAGCAGTCATATACTTTGTAATAATTTATGAAGGCTTTATATTAATGAATGCTTAATTTCATAGAAAAAACATATATCTAGTACCTATTTATTTTTTTTAATACATTATCACATATAAAATATGACTTCAACCAGCTATTGGATTTGCATGGATAGTAACACTATTTATCCTTATATCATTTGTCGGCCTATAATTTTTTGGGTTAACTGATACTTTTTCCAGTTCATCGAGCGTTTCCAATCCATCAATTACTCTAAACAGAAATTAACATGTTTAGAACCATAATATAATTATATGAATCCCTAATTTTTTGTAGAAATGGGAAATATAAATCAATTATTACTTAAATAACTTAATTAATTAATTAATTAATTACTTCAATAACATCTACAAACACTTAACTTACCTGCCAAATAAAGTATACTTTAAATCTAAATGTGGCTGAGGACCATAAGTAATAAAAAATTGACTACCATTAGAATTTGGTCCGTTATTTGCCATTGAAATCATGCCCCTAGTGGTGTGCTATGAAAAAATGATTTTTTTAAAACTAAATTAAAAAAAATTATAAAGCTTACTAACTTTCAACTGTTCTTTAAATTCATCTTCAAATTTTTTTCCCCATGTTGAATTGCCACCTTTTCCCGTTCCCGTTGGATCACCAGTTTGCACAATGAATCCTTTGATATTCCTGTGAAAGAGACAACCATTGAAGTAGTCACTAGCACAAAGTGCAAGAAAATTTTCACAAGCTTTCGGACAGGATTCACAGAACAGTTCAATTTTTATAATTCCCAGATCGGTATGCAACGTAACTGACTGAAAGAATAAATTAAATTACTACAGCAATAATTTAAGCATATACCAATAAGTGTATGAAATTAACGATAGGAGATGTAACTGCGTTTCATACATACCATTTGAGTCAAATTAAAAATAATTTACCAGGCGAAAAGTTAAAAAATTAGTAACTCCTACTGCACTGCTCATAACTCATACTAAGCAATTATATTTCTCTAAAAACAACATTAAGTGAGTACAATAATAAATATATGAATGAAGAAAAAATTATTTAAATTTAGTTTTACTTAATTTTTTAACCTCAAATATTATATTTATGTTTGAATTTCATAGTTGATCTATGGTACCCATAGACTAATACACCAAGACTCGATTACCTAGAGAATATTTGGAACCAACCAAACCAACGACGCCCTCGGTGAGTGTACCACGAAAACTATTAGTTATTTTTGAATTATATTCTTTGTGAACCATGGTTGATATATGCTATAAATGTAATTGCACTATATGGTACTACGAATAGAAATCTAAATTCTAAAATACCAGACAATCTTAGAGGAGAAGGAGGAGGAGAAAACAATAGGTGAGCTATTCACGATTCAACCAAATAAAATCGCGCCGCATTATTCCATGGTTAGAGATTGGCCTCAATGATTTGGGATGGAGGGGGATTATCCCTCTTTATCCTCATCTCGTGTAGGCCTGGACAGCCATCCTAAGTGGGCCACATCCGTCGTCTACCCCGACCGCAAATACGACCGGTGTAGGCGATTTATAGGACCTCCTTCTGTCCTGGCTGGGCCCCGCCGGCTAGGGCCCTTTCTTCTGGCGCTCTCAAATATAATCAATTGAATTGTGTCTGTCGACTTTTGCTTATTAGGCTGTGGTTATTTGTATAAAGATGATTTAAAATCATTTTGTGTATTTAGACTTTTCGTAAGTAATGACACAGAATTCAAGTATCTTATTGTACCTAAATTGGTAAATAGTGTAAATGCCTAGTGCTTTTCTTGTCCGATAGTTGGTTCAACCAGGTTGGAACGTGATCATGATCGTTGATTTGGGTTACACCACGGATCGCACAGTAACAGAAATGTTGATTAAAGTTTATACCGTGTTATATCCAGCGCCCTCCTTAACGGTATAAAGAACTATCTTGGTCGGCTCCAGTTTTATAGACGTTTTGCACATACATGCTTGGTTCTTTCCATACTACTTTCTTGCATGTGTATGCGTGTGTGTACACGTGTCCTTTATGCGCTGTTATTGCGTTTAGTTAAATTAAACAAGTAAATTCTTCAATTCTATTTAACCTAAAGCAAAAGCTATAACCTCAAAGTAAACATTGTGAAGAATAAAGAATGAAATTATTCTAAACAAAGTTATTTAAGCATGCCTCTCGTGAAGTTATCCATACTTATTTGATACTGAAATAAGATTACATAACATTTTCAAAATTCAAATTCCATTCTAGTTCAAAGTCTAAAAATTACCACGAGTCCTATAGTCAGGAACTTTACTGTGAAGTAATAGCACGTGTTTCTGGCAATACCCTGTATTAGTAGTCATCTAGCGCATCAGCGTTTTGATGAACGGCATTTATCTCTAAAATATGTTCCTCTGAAGGAATCCCATCGAAAATGAGAAATGAACCCTAAAGTTCCAATTTGGCATTTTACAACCGTATTCTATTACTTCCTCCGGCGTACTTACATCTAACGGCCGTATCAATGTCCGAAAGAAAGGATATTTATGGAGTATTCCAACTGCTGACGCATCGCCTTTCATTTTCTAAGATGGTATCTAAACTGGCGCTGCGGGCTGGGCTACACTAAAAGACAACGAAGTGTGATTGCGTCTCAGGACTGCAGGCCATATAACTTTGTCCCTATTTTAAAAGTAAATTTACCAAATCCGCAGATAGGCACGTCTGCAGATTTTGTAACTTCTAGTTTTCTCAAAGTTTAATTTTGAGGACACATATTTCGTGTATAGGTAAATTTACATTGTTCATTACATCGTGCCTGATAATCTTGATTTTCGGTGATTTACCTAAAGCCGAGTACACGTATAGGGTGTCCAGTAAGCACAGAATCTTCATAAATAATTACAAATAAGTCACGTGACCAGTAATTTTGTTTGGGACAGGGATTTTATTTCTTTCACGTTGGCTATTAAATTTCGGTAAAATTAAAACAATAAGACCAAAATTACATGAAGACACGATCTGTTTCACTGACTGTAATTGGTGCAATCACCCTGTATATATTAGACTGGGCCAAAAAATCGACTATTTATTTTTTGAAATATATATCGAGAATATCATTCAGAATGACGAAAAAACAATATCGTGAGATTTTGAGCCCCTAATATTAGTTTTAAGAGGTCCATCATCGCTAGTTTCGATTTTTTATTCCTGATCCCATTTTTGCGTCAAAACTGCCAAACCATCGAGGTAAAAAATGTATCTATCACACCTCGAAAATTGATGTTTTTTCGATTTGACTTTTTAACTTTGGAATTTTGTAAATAACCAACAAATTAATATCTAAAGAAAAACAATAAAAAGTTTCAAAGGAAATTTAGTTCTCTATAAAAAAGGTCTCTTAACATTTTTGCATACATTTACTCCTTCAAAAGTTATTCACAATTGAAGTTGAAGTAAAAATTTTGTTTTTTTCGTTTTGGACCCAATTTTTTTCACTCAATGGAACAAACTGATATTATACATCATCGACAACTATTATTCTATCAATAAAAAATATCCAAAATTCATAATATATTCAAATTCATTGTCGCTCAATAGCTATTTTTTCTACAAGAACGTAGTTTTTCTGTTTCAAAATCATTTTAAAAATAACAATAATGTAGTTTTACTACTGAATATTATTTATTTATAATATTATATTCATTAATATATACGAATTCGCGTCTATCAACTTTCCTCCCTTAGCCCTCTATGAAAATGACCTTGAATAATGTTATGAGCCATAATCTGATTTTTCTTTCATATAAATGTATACAATATTGTAAATAAATAATTTTCAATAGTAAAACTAAATAATTGTTATTTTTAAAATTATTTTGAGACAGTACTACGTTCTTGTAGAAAAAATAAATAGAGAATAAATTTGAACATATTATGAATTTTGGATATTTTTGAAAATTATATTGATAGAATAATAATTGTCGATGATGTACGAGTATAATATCAATTTTTTCCAATGAGTAAAAGAAATTGGGTCCAAAACAAAAATAACAAAAATTTAATTTTTACTTCAACTTCGTGAATAACTTTTGAAGGAGTAAATTTATGCAAAAATGTTAAGAGAGCTTTCTTGTAGAGCATTAAATTTCTTTTGAAAATATGTATTGTTCTTTTTCAGATATTAATTTGTTCGTTATTTACAAAATTTCAAAGTTAAAAAGTCAAATCGAAAAAACATCAATATTCGAGGCTTGATTATATGGAAACGGCTCGTTTGCTGAACATTTTCAATCAGACCTTTTTTGTAGGGCATTCAATTTCCTTAAAAAATATATGAGGATAAATTTTTTTACCTCGATGGTTTGGCAGTATTGACGCAAAAATGGGATCAGGAATAAAAAATCGAAACTAGCGATGGTAGACCTCTTAAAACTAATATTAAGGGCTCAAACTCTCACAATATTGTTTTTTGTGAAGGGCTCCCCAAATTCGCAAGGCTCTCGGGGTCTGCCCCCAAACTGACGTATGGCAGTTACGCCACTGCTCTAGCTACATAATGGTCGTTGCTATGTAGACGAAATGATTCTTTATGAAAAACTCCATTAGAAATTACGTGGCTGCTTTCCATCCATACCATGGGCTGGCTACTCAAACATTAATAGACCGTTTTAGCACTAAAAATACCAAATGAATTCCGTTTTTCCGTGAATAATCCGCTGCGGGATACAAAGGACAGCAATTAGCGGAGTTCTTTGCACGCTACACGGCTAGGGACGGCCCAAGCCGGCCAGGCCCCCTCATCGAGGTCCTTTGACGCGTGTTCAGCGCTGAGGATGGTCTTTATTACCCACTCATTCCGTGCGGATTAAGGAAAAGCTCCAGTGAGAGTTTTCGCTAACATTCACCTTTCTTTACGTACGTAGTTATTCCGGAACCAACTCGGGACTGATTACGTCTATAATTCGATCTAATTATATTAAAAGCGCATCAAGGAAAGGCATTTGTTTGTAAACTTATTGAAAGCGAGGGGCACAAGGAAGTTTTCTCGCTGATAATCAGTTCGATGCTGCGTGATTATCAGCTTTGTTCCTAGAGCAGTCTAAAACAGTTTTCAAAAGTCAAACGTTGATTGGAAACAATGAATTGTGACCCTTGTGTAAGTATTGTTGGAATGCGCATACGTCTGACCGTTGAAAACTGTTTTGGATTGCTCTAGGAACTAAGTTATTAGCTTCTGATGCACTAGGAACAAATCTATTCAAACGACGTTTGACAGACATTTCAATAATATTTTTTTTATGAACTTTGTTTTCGTAAAACCATTACTGTTATTTACTGGGATTCAGTCAAGTCAGTTTGACATCAGTTGTGATCCGAACGAGAAATGTTTCCCCTAAATTAGATTAATTTATTATCAGTATAGCAAATAGTAAATAAAAAAACTAAGTTACATTTACATCCAATAAATTGAAATATCAGATAATGCATCTATACGCTCGAGATGATTAAATTATAAATTGTTTTATGATGCAGGGCATAAAAAGTATTATATGTGCAGTATGTTTTTAATAGAGTATTTGTTTCAGTAACATATTCATATCATATATTTAATAATAGAAGCAATTTAGTACTCTTGCTGTACTAATACACATATATTCCGAAATTCATATAGATATAAGCTTTGTGCGCATTCCGGTATAGTGCATCACAGACAGTATAGCTTATCGCCAAGTGCATACATAAGATACAATATTTACCGTTTCGAATCAAAACGCATAACTGTTAGAAACTGTTTCTAATGTGCTAGCAACAAAACTATTGTGGCGGAAAGTAGGTTAGTTGTCTGTCTTCTGTCATAGCCCTACGATGGGCGCCATGATGTGGATGTTGCTTGGTTTGGTTTTCTCTCATAATGGATTCAGAAGGCGTACCTGTCTAGGGGGTCTACGTGGTGAAAAATTTCGAAACATCCGTGATTTTTTACATGCGAGTGGAGCTGCTCTGCATATTACGACATTATAATTTGTTCTGGCGATTTGATTGAGTGTAATTTATCCACGTCTATCTTTCATCCTCATTATGGGTTAACTAT